TCTCCCCACAATATGTATATGTCTAGATATGTATATGTGTATAAATGTGTATATACATATGTGGATATATACATGTGTGTTTAGTCTAATTTTCTAATCCAGTACACAGACAACAAGCTCTACTTCAAGCCCAATACCTAAAGCTATCATTGAGCAGGTCAATCATTGTGGATAATAGGTCAACATTTCTTATTGCTATGAGCATACTTTCATAACCACTTTCCTACAATGTTTATGAAAAGAGAAAAGCACTTGCAATGACAGTAATCCCTAAGACCCTATGAAGTTTCTAGACCATCCCCTGCTGCCATTATTCCAAGAAGAAAGGCCGTTGGAGACCTCACCGGGAATTAACTTCTGTAGGTTTTAAGTCACAACTATTGACCCAGAGGTGAATTGGATCTACTGCCAACCTTCTTAATACTATGATTCAACATAAGAAAGAGATATGAAAATGACATTGTAGAACATGCATTTTCCTATCCTGCTGTAACTGAAGGACTACAGGCTCTATTCACTTGACTTATACCTGAAACATTCTTCATGTATTGTCTCCACCTATTAATACGTGGGTTCCTTGAGTGTACTAATCGATTTCCACTTGTGTTTGTGTCCCAAGGATTTATATAGAGTGAATATTTTAAAATTATGTTTTCACTCATTCAAATTGATTTTGGAGCCCAATATCTACTCCCGTACTGGTTTTCCCTTTTGTCAGAACATTTTGGATCTAGCAACTCTGAAACCATTCATAAATTATTTCTCTGCTAACTTTCTAATCTGTTTAAACAATATTCTCTGTCTGTACTCTATAATCCAATGACACTGGAATGATGGCTGATCAAAAAAACAAACAAACCCAAAAAACAAAAAACAAGAAACTTCAGCTTTTAATTCTAGCAGTCTCTTTGGCTATTCCTCCATACCTGGGAGACTCTCCCTCTAATTCTTTACCTACTGATCTCACTGGTTTCCCTTAAGTTCCAACCAAATTCCTACCTTGCAGAGAAAGCCTTCCTAAATCCTCTTAATTCCAGTGTTTCCCTATAATAATTTCCTATTTATTCTCTATGTAGATTGCATTGAATATATTTGCTTGCATGTTGCCTCCATTAGGAGATTGTAAGGTGCTTTAGCACAGAGATTCTCTCTTGCTTTTTTTGTATCCCCACTATTTAGCAGAGTGACTGGAACATAGTAGGTGCTTAATCAATGATTATTGATCTTTTGTTGCATTAATATAGACTTCCAAATAAATGCATACCTTTGGTTTCTTTTTGTATGATTTTAGATTCCAACACTGCGCAGAAGCAACATATTCACTTCCCTTACATTTTCACTGTGACTTTCACAAATATCTTAAAAATGGTGAGACACAAAAGTCTGATATTTCTGTACATATATATTCTTTCCATGGGATGAACATAGGAGTAATTGTTAGGGAAATGTGTATTTGATGATTAGAATGATGAAGAAGATAATGAGGATTATTATTGATGTTGATAAATAACAATGATTATAATTAGGATGAGGATGAGGATGATGATATTAAGTCGTTTGATTTTCCTGAGTTGAGAAGCATTCTAATACAGGGGATAAAATACAGTGTTGTAACTGGGAAGTTTTTGTTCCAATCTTATATCTGACATTTATGGGCTAGATAACCTCAGAAAAGTAGTTAAATTCTTTAAGCCTCAGTTTCCTTATCTATAAAACAGTGTTAAAATATATATTCTACCTACCTCAGAGGTTTTCTGTGGAGTTTCAATGAGGTAATGTTTATGGACTCTATAAGAGTGTCAGCAATTATCCACACATTTATTCTTGTTGAAATTCTTATAACAATCTTAACATGTGTGGAATGAAGGCCCTTTTTTCCACTATACTGAAACAATTTATTTAAGAAGAAACAGTAGAGAATTAACACAAAGCAAAACAAAACAAAACTTTCCCTAAGACCCCTTTACTCCCAGAAGCATACTATTGGAAAAGGGTACTCTCTGCAGCTGTTTTCACTCATAGGGCCAGAGAACGACTGAGACTTGTTACTAGTGAGAAACAGATTTGTCAACTAATTTTTTTTAAACACATATGAAAATAAAGCTGAAAAATCATTGAGGTTTCTATAAAGTCCATGGTATCATATATTATAATAATGTAACTCTTATTCATGTTCATATTCTGTTTTCCAATCACAGCAAGGGAAATCATATATTGCAAGATTTGGGTGCATCACTCATCCTGAACAAAAGCACAGGGTTTAGGAAGAGACAATTGTCAGTAATTTATTTTTAAACACATTTCACCTCAAATCTTTAGGAAATAACATAGAGCCTTCATCTCTCATGACTTCATATACTAGTATTTAAGTCAGTATGTACAGATCCTTCCCCAGGGCATCTCATTAAAATTGTTCCTCAAGTGCTTTCTCATTGCAGACAGCTGCAGTAGAGGCTGTGATGATGACTAAAAGGGAGCAATATGTCTTCTTCTTTGGGTAGAGATTGGAAGGAGAAGGAAGAGAAAATTCCAGAAGAAGTTATTTATCAGCCAGGTACTAACTTTCCTAATCAGCCAGTAACACCTCTGGGGAGGTCCTGTCACTCAGCCTCTTTCCCCATACAAGGCAAGAACTTTCTCCTAGCAGTTATTTTTATTTTATTTTTTTATTTTTAGTCAATTGGGGTTAAGTGACTTGGCCAAGGTCACACAGGTAGTAAGTGTCAAGTGTTTGGTCTGAGGCTGGATTTGAACTCAGGTCCTCCTTACCTCCAGGCTGGTGCTCTATCTACTATGCCGCCTAGCTGCCCCTCTCCTAGCAGTTCTTAAGCCCATGTAGCATTAAAATCAGATTAACAACATAAAGGAATTCAATTGGGAGCAATATAAAGACATATATTTGAATAAGTTAAAAAAAAACAACTTAAGTGAACACTATGAAAAGCATGGGTTTTCAGGCTGTGGGGAAAATATTACATTGCTCTGGGGAAATATATATATATTATATTTTTATATATATATTTTATATATATATAATATATATATATGTATATGTGTGTGTGTGTGTTTAAATTAACTTTATGCCACCTCCCCACAGTAACTCTCTAGAGATGCTTGAGTTGGCTACCAAGTATTTTTGGTCCCCCTAGTCCTGGATCCACTGAAAGCTTTCTTGTTTGTGATTATATACACCCAGGACTTTTGGTAAGTCTACCTAAGTTTGTGTTTTGAATTCCTTTGAATTAAGGCATAAATGTGGTTTATGGGAAGCCAAACTTGTCTAAATCTTACATAATACAAACATTCCAGAGCCTAGACAGGAGGGAGCCACGCTTGTCTAATGACTCTCAACTACCAAATGGTGAAATAAATTTGTTTCTATACTCATTTCAGATTTTGGAGTCTGTTCATGCAACCAGCAAGGCATTACTTTGAAAAATACCTGGAGTTTTTAATGGATTCTCCCATCAAATGGAGGTATTGGACTTAAGTGACCTCTAAGGTCATCTCAGCTGAGGCAGCTACATGGTGTAGTGGATAGAGCGCCATATCTGCAGTCAGGAAAACTCATCTTCCTAAATTCAAATCTGGTGTCACACGCTTATAATCTGTGTGACCCTAGGCAAAGCAATCTTGTTTTCTCATCTGTAAAATGAACTGGAGAAGGAAATGGCAAATCACTCCAGTATCTTTGCCAAGAAATCTTCAAAGGGGTTCACAAAAAGATCACTTGACTGAAAATAGACTGAACAACAACAATTTCAATATAAGTCTAACATATTATGTATCAACTAAGAAAGCTAATGTAAGCTCCATTAAGAAAGGCATGGCATCTAAACAGAGGATGTGATAATCTCGCTGCATTTTGCCTTGTCTGGACAATGTATGGAACACTGTGTTCAATTTTCACTGCGAGAGTTCAGAATAGACATTGATAAATTAGAAGGAGAACAAAGGGAGGCAACCTCAAAACTGAACAAAGAGAAGTGCCTGACTTATGAGGAATGGTTTAAGACACTTTTGTTACTGGAAAGAATGGGTTCATGGCATCATAGATTTTGATATGAAATGGACCTTAAATTTTACCTCATCCAAACTGAACATTTCACAGATAAGTAAGAGCCAAATGGTATGAACTTATTGCCCAGAATATCACAGGACACAGATTGCAGACTTGTTATTTGTGCACAGGTACTCTTACAGTAGAGATTGTCTGTAAAGTTTTAGTACATTTTAAGCTTTAGAAACTTAAAAATGCACTGAAACTTTTGGGACACCGTCTGTAATCCATTGTTCTTTTCATTCCAACACAAGAATAGAAGAATTTGGTCAGAAGGTAGGAGAGAGGATGGAAGCTTGACTCATGTATTGGAATGATTGCCATAGAAGAGGGGGTAGACTTGTTCTTGTTACTGAGGAGACCAGAAGCAATGGACGGAAGTTAGAGAGGGGAAACTGAAGTTATGCTAAGTATAAACTTCTTAACAATTAGAGATATTTGAAAGTAGAATGGCAGTAGTGGTGAGTAATGAGACTCTTTCTGCTATGTTGTTTCCCTTAGTAAAATGTAAGTGCATTAACAGCAAGAACTATTTTTTTTATTCATCTGTGTCTGCTCCATGCCTAGCACAGGAAGAGTGTAACAGAACTTTCTAAAAGCTTGTAAATGGATTTATTCTTCCACACAAGAAAACTTCAACCCAAGGTGGTCTGCTTAACTTGGTGCTAAATAAAATATAGAATTTAATAGAGGTAGTATTCTCTAAGTCCTCTCTTAGCTCCCTTCAATCCATAGATGCACAAAACTATAATTTGCTTTAGATTGAAAATTGAATACAAACAAACAAACAAAAATAATCTTCTGATTGCATGTTGGTAGAAATATTTTTAGACAACAAGAGAGAAAACTGGGAAAAGTTTGACTAAGACATCAAGCAGAAGTTTATTGCTTTTAATAATACAATAGAATCAAACACTACCTTGGACATTAAATAGAAGGCTTACATCAATTTTTGAAAGACTCTTTTCAAAGCGCCTTTCACCTCTTTGTTCCTCAAACTGTAGATCAATGGGTTGAACATGGGGATGACCATAGTATAAAACACAGAAGCCATCTTATCTGTATCAAAGGAGTGGCTAGATTGAGGCTGCAGGTACATGAAGAGAAGTGTCCCATAGAATACAACCACTCCCGTGAGGTGAGAGCCACAGGTGGAGAAGGCTTTGTACCTGCCCTCTGAAGAGTTCATCCTGAGGATGGCCACAAGAATAAGCACGTAAGAGATAAAGATGATCAAGAGGGAAAAAACCAAACTAAATGCAGCAAAGATCATAATGATTAATTCAATTTCTCTTGTGTCTGAGCATACAATGGACAGTAGAGGGAGACTGTCACAGAAGAAATGTCTTAATATATTTGATTTACAGAAAGATGATTTTAAAAGTTTTATTGTGATCAATAGGGATATTATGGTGCTACAGAGGTATGAAATAGCCACCAAGATCCAACATACTGTGTCTGACATTATGACCATATAGAGGAGGGGCTTACAGATAGCCACAAAGCGGTCATAGGCCATGGCTGAAAGGATAAAAACTTCACTGGTAATAAATACCTGAAAGAAAAATAGCTGTGTTACACATCCATTGAAGGAAATGGTGTTTTTCTCAACTATGAAACTGACCAGCATTTTTGGACCAACAGCTGTGGAATAACCAAGATCTATAAATGCCAGGTGCCTAAGAAAAAAGTACATGGGGGTTTGGAGGTGGGAATCAATACTGGTTAGGATGATCAGACCTAGATTCCCCACAGCTGTGGCCATGTAGTTGAGGAAAAACACAACAAAGAGGGGGCCCTGCAGCTCTGGACGGTTTGTGATGCCAGTGAGAATGAATTCCATCACCTGGCTCCCTGTAGTTTCATTCAACTTGACAATTTCTTCCATCTCAGGAACATAATATCAGTAGAAAAGTCTATTAGAAAGTTCATTGGTAGAAATGTCTTAGATAAGATGAACTGGAACTTTCCCACCAAATCAGATTTTACATTTCTGTTATTATATCAAATAATATCTTAACAACATCCTGTCACCAAGAAGAAAGAGATTGCAGTTATACAAAATTAGGAGTTAATTGTGAAGTTCTTTAATGCCAAGATTTATGACAGGACAATATTTTCAATTACTTTTAAAATATTTTAACTAATCTTCATGTAGAAGGAACATTATAGAAAGGTAGAATATATGAGAATCACTGATGGAATTACTGTGGTTTAACAGGAATTGTGTTGGCCTTGAATCCAAGAAGACCATGGTTTAAGAACCATATCCAACACATACATGTGTGACCCTGTGCTAGTCTTGTATCATCATGATAGTGTAGGCTACTTTCTAAGATTTTATGTTGCCAAAAATTGATGTCTAGTGTTCAGAAATGAAATTTCCTTCATGAGAGTGTCCTAAATCATTGAGGTTAAAGGTCCAATATTTCTTCTTTTCTCCATCTCCTGTAAACATTAAGAGTATGACTTCTAAAAAGACAACCTGGATAACTAAACTCTCTGTGGCATTACCTCTCTCTCACCTTGCCTGAGATATATTTTGCTGCCTGGATTATGAAGGTGATCTAGGCCTGCAATTTTTATGTTTTAATGCCTTAATTCTCAGACGTATCGAATTTTCAAATTTTATACGAAAATTGTTCCTTGGACCAAGTTCATTTGCACAGCACAGTTCTCAAGGACAACTGGACTCTCATATATTACTAGTGATCTGTATTCCTTGACAAAATCTGTTTGATTTCTCTGTTTGCAGGGAAACAATTTTGTCATTGTTCAGAACTATGCCTTGTGATCTGGTGTTTTTTTTTTTTTTAATGAATCGTTTCATGGGGTTTTAATTTGAGTGAATTTACAACATGGCCCCTAAATTAAAAATGCTGTACTGAGATCACAAAAAAAAAATTATAATAATGTTACCTGTTCACCTGGAAGGTAGAATCTTCTGTGTCTTGCTCATGTTTTCACCCTTGCCAACTGCTTGAGGGAGACTTTATGGTTTCTAAGTCCCAGTGAGGCCATGTTCCTGAAGCAACGGAAAACTTTAATGAATTTCATACTATCTTCTCAAAGAAATTATTGAGACGTGGTGTCTTTAATGTGTAACTATACATATATATATATGTAGATGTACATACACATACGTATGCATATGTGTCTATATAAACATATATATGTGTCTATATAAAATATATATATACACATATGTATGTGTATGTATATATGTAATATTTTACCGAATTCCAGTAAATGTCTATTAAATACCAACTCTTGCTAGGCTCTTGCATGTAGTTGATATTGTGCTAGTTGTATTAAGTTTGAGAACACTGCAGAGACTTCTGAGAGAGGTCTGTAGCCAATCAAAACAATTTATTTTATCCAGTCACACATCAAAGGTCAGTAAAATGAAGAAAATCTAGTGCCAAGAAGATAATATAAAGTTGAATGGGCAAGATAAAGAGCCTGCTTTTTTGGAAGCATATCTGGGAAAGCTTAACCTCAGTGTTGGACCCAAAAATGAGCAGAGAGATGTGAGCAGATTAGATTGCCTTTAGACTATTTTGTTCAGTACTTTCAGTCATGTTCAACTCTTTGCGACCCCATTTGGAGTTTCCATGGCAGTGATGCTGGAGTGGTTTACCATTTCTTTCTCCAGTTAATTTTATATATAGGAAACTGAGGGAAACATGATTAAGTGACTTGCCCAGAATTATATAGCTAATAAGTATCTGAGACCAGATTCAAACTCAGGAAGCTGAGTCTTCCTGATCCCAGGTCTGACACTCTATCCACTATATCGTCTAGGTGCCCTTAGAATATTTCAGAAATCTTTTTGGAGGAGCTAGATGATGCATTTGTCTTCAGACACACTTCAGTGTTACCCTGGGAAAGTCACTTAATCTCTATCTGCCTCACATTCTTAATTTTAAAATAGACATAATACAAATACTTCCTGCTAGGTGTATTGTGAAGGTCAAATAAGGTGTAGTGTGGTTACAACATTGACTGAAATTTAGTAGGCTTTTAATGAATATGTGTTTCTTTCCCTTCTTAATGCCTCAAAACTTTTTTTTCAAAATAGGCTCTTTTACAAAAATTGCCATTCTTCAAGTCCTATTGTAGAATGTATTGAAACATAGAACACAGTAGCATCAAAAGAACTGAACCCACAACTCTAGAGGCAGTCCACTCCATTTGGGGATGCTCTAGTTTTGTTGTTTTTGTTGTTGTTGAATCAACATTTTGCACATGAAAGAGATTTATTAATGCCTAATACAAACTTTTTGATTAATAGATGATAACTCTAGTAATATATTATCATGGTTACATTTACTGGGTATGTCCACTTTACCCATTATTGTTGAATACTATCCAAGATACATTTCGGTATCTTTGGTGAAAAAAAAAAGTAATCTCTATCACAATTATTTGGCACCTATGAGGGCAAATGAAAGGCAATGTGCAATGATTATTGCATCATGGATGGAAAGCTGGCCTTAGAATCATGAAAATCTGGACTGAAGTCATGGTGTAGGCATATATGAACTCCATTCATTCATTTGTTTATTCTTGTCTTTTCATGTCCAGTGCCTCTCATAGTATGGATCACAGAGGTTTTATTGATAAAAAACTTATTGATTGCTTGGTTGACAAACATTCATGTGGAAAAGATTAATCTTGTTCTCTTCTATTTTTGTGTTATGGTGTTCCCTTTTATATTTAGATCATCAATTCATTTTGCATTTACTGTTAAATATGGTATAATAATATTAATAACAATAACAACAACAATAATAATAGCAATAAACAATAATAATAATAACTAACATTCAAATAGATCTTTCTGGCACTCTTCTAAGTGGTCTACAAGTATTATTTCTTCTATCCTCGCAACAATTTTGGGAGTTAATTTCTATAATTATCTCCATTTTACACATAAGGAAACTGAGGCAGAGATTAAATAACTTGCCAACGGCTTGATTTGAACTCATATCTTCCTGATTCTATGTCTGGTATTCTATTTACTGTGTCACCTAGCTGCCCCTATGTGTTGGGCTAATCTGACCCTAATTTGTGTCAAACAACTGTTCTGATTTGCAGTGATCTGAGTAGTCTTGTCACAAAAACTTCTTTACCAAAGTTTTTTTAATTATTATTATTATTATTAGCTTTATTTAACACATGGCTAGCAAATTCAATTTTTCATGATTCTTTCCTATATGGAATTTTCTGGTGATCTTACTTTTGTATTCTTTAATCAGTTGTTGTTTGTTTCTCAGTTGTATCAGTCATGTCAGACTCTTTATTAAGCCATTTGGACTTTGCAAAGATATTGAAATGGTCTGCCATTTATTTATCCAGCTCATTTTATGATTGAAGAACTGAGGCAAACAGCTTTAAGTGACTTGCCCAGTGTCATACAGTTAATAATTATCTGAGACGAGATTTCAACTCATGAAGATGAGTCTTCCTGATTTCAAGCCCAGCACTCTAACCACTGTGCCAATTAGTTTGATGCTTTTGACCACCTGAAAAAGTTAGGGGTCAGTCATGTACTCCATCATCTTTCCTTCCCATCACACTCAATGTAGTCTTGCAAATTCTTGCATACCTTTGGTTTCTATTTTTCTGATTTTAGATTCAAAATTTTCTCAGTAATATGTTCACTTCTCTTTTCACTAACACTTTTAGGAATACCTTAAAAATACTATGACACTAAGCCTGATATTTCTGTGCATATACTACAGTGAATGATCTAGCAGATCTACATAGTAGTGAAAATTAAAGAAATAGGTACTTGATAATGATGGCGATAATGATAATGTTTTTAAGAAGACAGAGGAGGAGAAGGAGGTATATTATTGATGATGATAAAGGATGCTGATGAGTATGATAATCATGATGATTACTTTGAGGAACAGGATTTCCCAAAGTTAATTTTCCCAATGTAGGAGATAAAGTACAGAGTATTGTACTTATAATCAGAAAGAATTCATTCCAACCTTACCTTTGACATGTATAAGGCAGATGGCCTCAGCATGTAATATAATCTTTTTTAGCTTCTACTCCTCCATCCATAAAATGGATTTTAAAATATCTATTGTATCTACTTCAGATGGTTGTTGTGAAGCTTTAATAAGGTAATGTTTATGAACTCTATCTACAAATGTCAACTACTTTTCAAAATTTTTTCTGCCTAGTCCTGTTTTAAAATGTGTATAATCAAAGTACATTGATATTATTCTTACTGTTCTGAAATAATCTATTGAAGAGGAAGCATTGGAGAATTAAGATAAAGGAAAACAAAACAAAATCTCCTCTAAACCCCTTTGCCACTGTAAGGATACCATTGGGAGAGGTTATTCTCTGCAGCTGTTTTCATTCATACAGTCTGAGGCCAACTGGAGATGCTTTACTGTTGGGGAGCAGAGCTGTTTAGCTATTTTTAATAGAAATTAAAATGAAGCTGCAAAATCATTGAGGTTATTCATAGTCCATGTTTTTAAAGATTATGATGATGAAACATTTTAAATGAAATCATTCTATTTTTTATTAGATGAAGATAAATTTTGTGTCGCAATATTTCAGTGGAGCAGTATTCCTGAAGAAAGGCAAACTGCTTAGAAAAAGACAATTGCCAGTACTTTATTTTTAACACATATTACACCAAAGTAATATGCAATACCACAGTGAATTTCCATATCATGACTCATATATCCAAGTCACTATTTCCAATTCCCTTCCTTGAGCACCTACTCAAAAATCCTCCCCAAGTCCTTTCTCATTGCCAAAAACAAAGAAGAGTTCATGATGCTGACTAATATATAACAACATGTCTTCTTCCTGAGGTGAAGAGTGGAAGGGAAAATCAAAATAATGAAATCTATC